TATGGTGGGCTTCATACAACTAAATGACACGATGATGTAGGACATAACATATCTGAACCAGTCAACCTGTGCTCTTCATAGTCAACGGAGATGTTTTCGCTATAGTTAGCAAATAACCTGTGGTGTGACAAACTGTGCCATCTCTGCTGAGTGCAGGAGAACGCTGCAGGCTAGTTCTGCCATACTGCAATTCTCAGCATTAGTGCAAGGTTGTGCCAAATTGTGCCAGAGTCTGTAGATGTCAGGTTAGATGAGCAGAAATACACCCTCAGCGACTGCAGAAGTCTGTCTTGGCATGAATTGAAATTGCATACCCTTACTTTGGTGAAACTTGCTCTCTCTAAGGAATTCCACTAAAGTCTATCCAGCATTTTTAAAGTCCGTAGAAGCAGCATTTTATGTACTTGTCATCAAAGTAAGAGAACGGACACACACACACACAGAAGCACTTGTGCTGAATAAAGCACTATTTTAAAGTATTGTTTCCTCCTCTTTCCCCCTCCCTCCCAAATTTCTCTGTTTCTTCCATCAACAAAAACACTGAATTGCCTCTCAACACACCATTAAAAATCCCTCTCGCATGAGACTGCTATTTGACACCAGTTTACAATGCAGTACTTGGCTTACCGGCAGAAGGATGCTGTTGCCATCTTCTGGGAGAGACTCATGTGGTAGCAAATGTCAGATCTGAGTGTTACTGCCGGCAGGGACAGATGATGTAGAGCTGAGGCTGTCAGTTTAAAGGTTAGTGTCACGTATACCACAGTGTCAGAGAGGTGAGAAATTAATGTCACAGCGATGTGAGTTTGGCTGGTACTGTCTTCCTTCCACAACCTCTCGGGTATTTGCACATGCCAAATCTTGAACACTGAAGTATTACTCCAAGTTTGCCTTTTCTCTCTTTGCTTGTCTTGCACTGCTGGAGAAGAATTGACAGTAGGTGTTAGTAAAGAGTTGTCTGGCATTGCTGACTGAGAGCAGAGCAGGCCTACGCTACAGCGGAGCTGAGAGTGATCTCTGGGTTAAGCTGTTAAATGTCCACACGTGAGTGCTGGCAACTGTCACATGAAGATGAAATTTGCACTTATATTATCCTGTCCCATTCAGTAGTGAACATCGAAAGGATTCTAGTGAACAAAAACGGGATGAAGCCATTGAGTAGTGGTAATACGCACCTGTCGTGAAGGTAAACTTATGTCCACCTTTATAAATTCCCAGGACAACCTGACTGCTTGCACTGTGTTCAAGTTGAGCACTTCCCTTCTAATGAAGATTTTGTAAAAGTGAATGCTTCACAAGGGATATTGCCATATAACGCACTTTTAAAAACCTGTATTTATTATTGTCATACAATAAATTAATGTCTACTAGTCCACATTTTAAGGTTCTTTCAAGCATGTTTTCTAAAGAAACATATGGAATCCATGTACATGAAAAGGGGTTGTCTTTCCCAATTGAACATCTTGTCCAGAATAAAGTACATTACAAGTATATCAATAAAGCACATTACACAGTATATCAATAAAGCACATATGTGAGACAAAAGCTCATTTTGTTTTAGTGGAGAGTTGTACAATTGCAAAGTGCTTAATTCAACTGTGGCTGTTGTAATACAAAACATTGTAATAAAAACTTCTCACAATTCTGTGTTGCTTTTGTCAACAGTACTCCTGTTAACAGTTAAGAAAATTCATGAGGGAACTTAGTGCTGAGTTGTTTCTTACAGAGCAACACGCTTGGGAAAGTAAGGTGGGTTCCAGTTGCTAAAAAATGAACAGCGCTTGACAAAAATAGTGACTGCTCTACATAGCTGCAAAAATGACCAGGCTGCCGCTTCTTACATGGAATTTGCTGTCATTTCACCTGAGTTCCGTGCATGCAGCATCTGCAGGATTAAGATCTAATGTTGGAAAAAGGCCTGCTGCCAGTTGATTCTAATGTGGTTTCATGGAAAAGAAGAGAAAGGGGTATTCTTCTAATAGCACTTCCCAAAGCTGTGCTAGACTGTACTTAGCACATTAAATTCTGAGCCTCACAGTTGTGTTATTCTTTCTCCATTTGTTCTTTCAGTTT